CTCTCTCTCTCTCTCTCTCTCGTCTTTCTCTAGAGCTGATGCTCTATGTTGATTTTCTCCACTCCTAAAATGTGAGGACCTAAGTTTCTGTTTGTTAAAACCACCCGCTGACCTGTGGTATTTCTGTTAGACCAGCACTGAGAACGACGACAACGCCCCACCTTCCTTGCCCCTAAGACCAGGAAATAAACCCTTAGACTTTCCCAGACTTCTTCCTTGTCGTGGAAGAAATGACCTCTCTTTCAAGACTGAAAGCAATTGTTTCCCCAAACTTCCAGGAGTGCCAACCCCGCCTCCAGGGCTCCTCTCTAGAGATGTTGTGGTTGCTAGGTGCCATCGAGTCGGTTCTGACCCACAGGGACCCTGAGCACAACAGACCAAAGCACTGCCCCGTCCTGTGCCATCCTCACAATTATTCCGATGCTTGAGCCCATTGTTGCAGCCACCACGTCAACCCATCTCATTGAAGGCCTTCCTCTTTGTCGCTGTCCCTCCTCTTGGCCACGCATGCCATCCTTCTCCGGGGACTGGCCTCTCCTGACACCGTGTTCAAAGTACACGGACTGAAGCGTTGCCCTCCTTGCCTCTAAGGAGCAGCCGGGCTTAGAGATGCTAGGAGAACAAATGCCACCGGCCGATGGCTTTAAAGAACGGAACTGCGTTTTCTCCTAATGAGGAGGCTGGACGTCTGAATGCAGGCCACCAGCTCCAGGGAAAGGCTCTGCCTGCCTGTTCCGGGGGACTATCTCTGTCTCAGCTTCTCTAGCCTTGGCATTCTCGAACTCCTTGGTTATCTCCAGGTGCCATGACCTTCTCTCATCGGTGCTTGTGTCTCTCGGTGTCTAATCTGCTCTTTTCCTTCTTTCTTTCTTTTTTAATCTGCTGTTTTCATATCTCAGGAGGCATTGCATTTAAGACACATGCTACACCAGCAGTTCTCAACCCGTGGGTCGCAACCCCTTTGGAGGGGGGGAGGTTTGAAGGACCCTTTCGCAGGGGTCACCCGATTCATCACAGTAGAAAAATTATAGTGATGAAGTAGCCACAAAAATAATGTTATGGTTGGGGGGTCACCACCACATGCGTCACTGTATTAAAGGGTCATGGTCTGAGGAAGGTTGAGAATCACTGCTCTACATGGATAAAGGAGCCCTGGTGGAACATGGCTAACTGAAAGGTAGGTGGTTTGAATCCAGCAGCTGCTCCTTGGGAGGAAGATGTGGCAGCCTGCTTCCTTAAAGATTACATATGGCCTCGGCACAAACGTACGATCATCAGACCTAACAATAAGCTCACAAACAACCGAAGACAAAATAGCTGGCGGGGACCTCCTAAAAAGAAGACCCGTGTGTGCATCAAAAGAGTGAAACAAGACCACTGGCTGGGAACGATGTCGACAACGGCAACCTGGATAGGGACTAACCTCTAGAATCGATAGAGAACTGCCGAACTTCGACGTGCACACGACGAACGATCCAATGGAAGGCGAGCAGAGGACATGAAGAGGCAGTGCCCCAAAGGAGCCATCCAGGGAGCCAACAAGCATATGAAAAATCTCTTGCACGGCATTTGAGACAGGAAAGCGAATTGAGACTTGCAAAAGCGGGGATTGCAATCAGTGATGTGAAACAAAAGGTGTGTGGATTGTTAAGGAGAAAACTGACGTGCTCTGCGAGCCGCCACCAAATTCACAATAAAATAGTTTTTAAAATGCCTTTAAAGAGTGCCTCATAGTTTAACATTCACTCATACATAGATCACACTCAGATAACACAGATTTTGCTTTTGAGGACACGCCCTAGTAATACTACTCCTGTGCATCTACCTGAACGTCTTTCTGGGAAACCGACCGAAGCCAAATTTCCACGGAGAACACGCTGCAGATTCCGCTATCCATTCAAGAAGTGGTTCGGCTGCCTGATCAGGGCTTCGGAAATCTCAGAGGGAATGAAGACATGATCCGGCCAGGACTCAAGCTAAGGAGATGGCTGCAAAGCTAAGGAATAGGATGAGGGGGTTCCTTGTCTTCTCTTACCAGTCATGATCAGATCCAGGGGTTCGCTTAGCTGTGACCAGTGCTCCCCGCTCAGATAGATGCATCGGTAAGGCCCTGCATGGTGTAGTGTCATGGCCGGGATGGAGAAGGTGACCTTGTCACATGATTTCGGTCTCTTCAAGGCAAAAAGTTGTTCCTTGAAAAGCAAGTGATACTCCACAGCCTCAGGAAACCCCTGGCACCAGATGGTCACCGGCCTTCCCTTGGCAATGATGAAACTGGGTTTGGCCCAAATGATGGGTTTCAAGAGAGTATCTGAAAGGGAACCCGAGATTGGAGTTTCAGATGATCCCCATCCCCCACCCCACTACCCAGCTACCACCACGCTACTTCCCAATGAGCTGCTGCCCTCAGACCCAGTGGTCCAGAAAACCCGCTGGCATCAAGTGGAGACTTAATCTGAACAGAGAAGAGGGCTCCCGAGGCTTTGAAAGAAGAACTCACGCTTCGTGGAACTGGTCATCTGGCTCAGACACAGCCCTGTAAGAGAGGGATCATGAGATGGGTGGCCCCACCCTCACCCAGACCTCTGGGTTCCACCTTCCTTCCAAGCAGGAGCTCACCGAGGCAGAGCAGGGCAGCGAGTGTGGAAGGCATAATACAGAGCCTGCCAGGCAAATGTGGACGAGTTTTAGAGGACCAGGTCCAGCAGGACAGGCAGATGTACAGGATGTGGTGGGTGACACCCAGCATCGGTCACCATGGGACTTTCACAGTGACCTTTTTTAATAAGAAGAATCATAGCTCTTCCTTCTCACCCCCCACCCCCCTCAGGACCCAAGGCATGAAAGACATGACACCTACGACACTGTTGACGACACCCGTAGTCTAACTGGCAATGGTTTGCCTCACTGCAAACTCATTTCTGGGTGAACATCTACATTCTGAAATATGAACACGATGCCCAGGGGACATAGGGGGCAATATGCTGAATAAGCCCTTGGGAATCACTCAGTGAAATCCTGCAGCCCTTGAGAGTCGATGAACCTTCAAACCTATTGCCTTCAGGTAATCTTCAGGGAGGCCTTAAGCCCAAACTGCCCACTGAAGTCTTCTTTGGACCCCAGTAGAGTTTATTTTCCTAAGTCAACTATGTCTGCCTTGAGCATCGTGTGTGTTTAAAGGATCATGGCTGGGCGATCACATGGGCAACAGCAACTTGAAAGGCTCGATGAGAAGCTCAGGGGGCAGTGAGTTTAAGTAAATGGTTGTCTAGTTATCTGGTGATGCTATGACAGAAATGCCACAAGTTGAAGATCTTAACAAACAACTTTATTCTCTCATAGTTTAGGAGACAGATGTCCAAATTGAGGGCATAAGTTCGTGTAGGGTTTTCTCTCCCTGTTGGCTCTGGGGGCTCATAACCCTTGGAGATCTCCAAATATCTTGGCATAGCTTGTCCTCTGGGTCTGGCTGGCTCTCAGTGCAGGGACTACAGGTCTGTGGTCGGTACATAATCTGGTGTCAACTTGAGACTATTAAGAGTGAAGGGGTGGAGTTTACTCTGTCAATCAGGTCACAGTTTGATGACCTCATTTGGAGGTGCTATGGAGATAATAGCTCACTAGATGCCAGGCCACACACTCTGCTTGTCTTCCTGGTGACTAGCCACATGGAGACCCCTGCTGGACCCAGAGCTCTGGAGCTGGAGGAGCCACATGGAGACCCATAGCAGCGCTAGGAAGCTTCCACCACCACGGAATCCACAAGACTTTCTACCCATTGGCCTGTGATCTTTCTGTATTCAGTGTCATTGCATGTGTTGCATGAGTCTGAAGAGGAAATTATAGACTGGTATTGGACATATGGACTAATATCAGACTTATGGGCTTGATCTGGACTGGGCTGGGATGTTTTCTTAATCTATAATGAGTCTTCAATATAAAGTTCTCTATTACACACACATGAATGTCTATGAATTTGTTTCTCTAGTCAATCAGACTAATACAGGGTCCAAAGGATGTGCTCCCTGACTCTTCTTCCTTAATGATAGTTAGGTCCTTTTTATCTGCTTGTTCCTCTCTTTCAGCTCTTGTAAGGTAAAAGGTGATATAGGTCAAACCCCAGATATCCTTACTTTGGGCTAAGCCTGCGATCCTAGTAAAGGTGTTGCACCCCACCTTAATCCCCCTATAAGTGATTGTCACCAGGGCTTGTGGTATATCATCAGGGGAACCCATGGAGGTTGCTAATCCAACTGTAGTTTCTTTTGGAAGCGGCTCATTTTCTCATGAGGTTTGCCTTTGTGGGGAATCATGGTGGGATTCCAGTATATCTTGTGCTGTGCAAGTCTGGCTGTTATTGGCTGCTATTGAGTGAATCCTGAGTCATGGTATACAGGGTATATCTG